TATATATATATATATATATATATTGAGATTGAAAATCTCCTATTTCTAAAATATTTTGGATCGGATATCTATTGGATTGTCAGATCGGATCAAATATGGACGAATCAAGTCTATATCCGATCCATTTACAGCACTATCAACAACCAACATGCGGTGTGTTGCATGCCGTCGTTCATAATGGAGATGTGGGGTGGTAAGCGAAGAAGAGAATGAGATAATGTTAATTATGTTTTATTTTTTATTTTTACCTTTTATGTTTATTTTTATTATTTATTTACGTTTTTCGAGTTAAAGATAAAGGTAAATAAGTATTTTTTGACAAATTTTTGGCTTGTTGAATTAAGGTTAAAATCGTGTATCAGGGGCTTAAATGCTACAGAAATGCAATTTTGGAGACGGAAATGCTCATTATTAAAGAATGGAGACTTTTCTCGAGATTTATGTCCAAATTTAGAGTTTGGAGAACAAATTACCACGTGCACTAAATTTAGGGACTAATGTTGCAATTTTGCTCTGATTTTAAAGGCCGGTTCAAACTGGCCCACTAGCTCTAACCAAAATGGACCTTCTCAGTTGGAAGGCCCAGATCCTTCTCGAACACAAATTTTGACGGGTGGTGTACTTGTACAGGCTTCTCCAGCAAGAAATTGGAAAATCAATTCATATATAATTCTCAGATACCTTCGAAGCTTGATTCAATCAAACTGAAATCCCACAAGATTAATTTGTGATCACAGAAAGGAAGAAAACGTAGATGGATTATGAACTGAGAAGAGCCAGAGAGAAGCTGGAGAGAGAGCAGAGAGAAAGGAAAGATAGGGCCAAACTGAAATTGGAGAGAGAGAAGAGAGCCAAACAAGAAGCCATTCACCACCGCGAAGCAATCGAAGCCGTTCAGCGTGCTCGCCGCATTGAAGCCGCTGAAGCCCAAGCCAAGGTCCGTTTTTAATTGCCCCTTTTTTTGTTAATGAATGGTTCTTTTTCGATCTAATCTTAAATTGATTGATATTTCATCTAATCTCGAAGTTTGGCACTATCCATTAATATCATAGTTCTATCATTTTGTTAAATTCGTGAATTATGTGAAAAAATTGCCTTTTAGCTTTATGGGAATGGCTTTGAAATTAACTTTCTTTGGATACCCTAAAAGCTCACGTTAATAATAGAGATCGTTTGATCGTGAAAAATTGATGGATCTGGACTATACAATTTGTCATCGATAGTAAATTTCAAATTACATCCCTCTTGCCGTTTATGTTAGTTGAAAGATTGTGCTCATCACAATTTCTAACTAATACTTTTGCAAAACCCTATCCTCATTCCTAGCAAGTATGAATTTTATTCACTAAACTTCTGCTCGTTTTTGTAAGTTAATAGGTGAGGAGATTCTATATTTATCAAGTAGGTGTTAGATGACACCCAATCATAAGCTTTCTCAAAGCCAATATTATTGTTACCTTCTTTGTCTTGATGTTCTAATATCTTCGTATACATTTTTATATTGGGAGACGCAAGTCATCTTTCCTGAAATGTCAATATTGATATACCCTAGGAAAGATCTTACTTGGTTAAGGATTACCCGAAATAGCACATTTATGTCTTCCAAAATGGTTACCTTCTTGCCTTTTCTAAACCCTATTCGCAACACTTACGTGCTAATCAGAGTTATCAGCTCTGTACCCTTCTTTTAAAAGAAGACTTAACTAACATAACCTTATTATGGATTAATTTATCTTCGGCTGTTTCTTCTTTTAGACCATATTCAGTTAGTACCCGTACTCCATATCCAGGCACACCAAAGTTACCCATCACTTATGGGGGGTACTCAGCTAATTTTTGCTCATTTTTCTTTACAAGACATTTATATCCTAACTATGATCAAAATAAGGATTCTTTCTTTGAATTGTTCGGTATTTAAATAATGTGGCATACCATTTGTATTTCAAGAATACAAAGAAATTTTGGACTTTCAAACTAAATAAATAATAAGAAGAAGATGATGGGACTTTTTGCAAGTTCATTTAAGTTTTGTTTTTCATTTTTGTGCATGGGAACTTGTACATTTTATATTTTCAGTTCTAGTTTTCTCTGTGTCTCAGTTTGTTTTCTTATGCATAATTTGATGTCTCCATTGTTCATGTATGTTCACATTTTCCATTTATTCGCGACTCCCAAATATTGAAGTACCTCAACTTCGATGTGGACTTGGATCCGCACCTCTTGGCTTGAAGACAAGTGTCTTACCTTTGAGATTCCATGATTACCTCTTATTATCCCTCTGTTTCAAAATGAATCAGTTTGTGTTGTCTTGGACTTTATTCAAGAGTGATGGTTCATATTATATAATCTATGCATGAAAATTTCTATATGATTTTAGATTCAAATCAATGCTGCAATTTAGAAAGTTGCTAGAGTTGAGATCTCAAATAAACCAACGTTAGACGTTTCTTTCAAGCTTAATACTTAATATTCTTCAATAGATTTTGATTTTAGTTCACGATCCTTTCGATTTTGTACAGTATATTATTTTTGATATTCAAGTTGCTACAGTAGGTTTTTAATTCTAGCTTCCTAACATCGACTTTACGAGGATTCCTTTTGAATGTCTTTCCCAGATAAATCAGCAACTGGAAGAAAATTTGAACGCTGGTCGTGGAGTCATTTTTTCTCGTACTTTGGAAGCTGTGCCTTATCAGGGTAGTGGAGATAAGATCAAACTGCCACCTTCTTCTTTTGTGGAGTTGTCTGAACAAGGAGCTTTCGACAAAGGACCATTGCATTTCTCTCTGTCCTTGGTTCACGCTGAGGGTGCTGGAGAAGAACAGTACAGGATGACACATGCTGGTGTAATGGAGTTCACTGCAGAGGAAGGTTTTGTAGTGCTTCCTCCACACAGTTGGAGTAACTTATTTCCTGCCGGAAATCTCAAGTCTTCCATGGTGGAAGTACGTTATGTTTGGCTGCCAAAAGGAACATATGCTAAACTTCAATCAGATGAAATCGGCTTTTCTGACATTCCCAATCACAAAGCAGTCCTGGAAACAAGCCTTCGCCAACATGCAACTCTTTCGGAAGGTGATATGCTCACAGTCAATCATGGTGCCCTAACATATCATTTACGTGTTCTTCAGTTGAAACCGTCATCAAGTGTATCTGTTCTAGAAACAGATATTGAAGTTGATATTATGGGTCCCGAGTCTGCAGAAAAAACAAACCATCATGTGCTGACACCTCTCATCTTTGGGAAGCCGGAATCTGGAGTGGTTGATGAAGGAAACTACTTGTACTATAAGTTCTTAATTGATGAGGATACTTGGAAAATAATTTCTTCGGCGAATGCCAAAATTGAAATTAAGCTAGAGTCACAGATGCAAGATGGAGATACTGATCTGTATGTTTCTAGGCATCCACTTTTGTTCCCAACACGCCACCAGCACGTCTGGTCTTCCCATGATGTGGGTCCAAAGGCTTTGATACTTGGCATGGAGGATGTGAACTTCGGACCAGGTGGTTACAGTGTTGGTATATATGGCTTTAAAGCGACATCCAGATTCATGGTTTCAGTAACTATTCAAGATAAGCCGAGGGAGAAGGTGGGTCAGAATGCTGCATCTTCTTCGTCATCTATGGAGGTAGATACTGTCGAATGCAGAAATTGTAAGCGTAATATTCCTTCCAGGACCATAGCACTTCATGAAGCCTATTGTAGCAGACATAATGTCATCTGTCAGCATCCTGGTTGTGGGATTGTTCTTAAGATTGAGGATGCCAAAAGTCACGTGCACTGTGGAAAATGTGGACAGGCTTTCCATGAGTTAGAGATTGAGAAGCACGTCAAAGTTTTTCATGAGCCACTTCATTGCCCGTGTGGAATTGTCCTCGAGAAAGAACAGATGGTAATGACTATGGTTTTCTGTATCTCTTTTTGCGTTCTTGCCAACCTTGTCTTGTGATGCGTAGTTTGTTAAAATCTGATAATTCCTCGTACTTCTCCATTCAAAATTTTTATTACTTATTGTGCTGTTAGATCGATGTGTCAGTTTTTGGACACATTATAGAAGTCTTATAAAGGGAATCCGGGGGAAATTTTGAGTGGCACAACACTTGCTGTGCTGGTAAATTGATGGGCAGGTTAATATTATCCTCTTCAGGGCAGCTTTTAGGACATGAATTATAGCTATATTTCATTTCCCCTTTACCCAAGTTTCTAATATTCAAATATACTTATTTCTTAACAGGTGCAGCACCAGTCTTCAGATTGCCCATTGCGTCTTATTACGTGTCGATTCTGTGGAGATATGGTTCAAGCTGGGACTTGTGCTGCTGATGCACGGGACAGGCTAAGGGGTTACTCAGAGCATGAGAGCGTGTGTGGATCGAGAACTGCTCCTTGTGATTCTTGCGGGCGTTCTGTGATGTTAAAGGACATGGATATGCACCAAATTGCTGTTCATAATAGGAACTAATCCTCGAGATATTATTTTGAACGGCGATTTTAGGCTCTATTTGTACATCTATAGTGCGTCCGATTGCATTGATCCCTGTTCTACGCGTAAAATGTTACCTGCCAATGTTACTTATATCAAAATTTTATTGTTTTCGTCCAAAAATCATTAGGAAAATGTTCGTATGTCATGTCTTCATTAATATTAAATAGAAACCCCTGACATTATCGTTTAAATGGAAGATTTGCACGAAGTTCTTGTAAATTTCAGTGTTCAATTTCAAATAGTGCACGGTAATTCACCAGTTCAGAATTTTTTTTACCTGATATAAACTCGTTTTGCATAGATTTCTTTTTCTAGTGAAAAATGATTTATTTTAGAATGTTTGGTGAAAGAGCAGTTGTGGGATCACTAGAATGTGTTGAAAATAACTTTTGAGAAAACTTTGCCTGATAAACTTTGAATATATTCTTTACTTTTGGATGCATAATTTTTGTTCAAGTCCAAAAAGTTGTGTAAAAGCGAATNTTCAACCACACATTTCTCATCATATCACTATTCAAAATCAATTCTTCCCCCAAAAATTCCTCCCAAACAAGCTCTAACTTGGAGCTGTTTGGGAGGGATTAAAATCAGATTAAAATTGAAAATATAGCTGTTATTATTTAATTTTATTAGACGAGTGTGACCCAATAACGGCTATATTTTCAATTTTAATTGGATTAAAATTATTCTCAAACAAGCCCTAAGGCCCTGTTTGAGCCAAATTATTGTAGAATGAGAATGAAAAATATAGTTGTTATTGGAATCTACATAAGAGATAGAAAATTTGAATTTAAATGTTGATGTGATGGATAAATGTCATATTTTTCATTTTAATGAGATAATAATGTAGATCAAACGGGGACTAAAACTTTCATTTTCATTTTTTTACTTATTTTTAACCATACATTTTTCAATAAAATAATATTTTCCACCACATCAATAACTTTTTTTTTTAACCACACTTTCTCCATCAATCTACTATTCTAAAATACATTTTTCCAAAATAATGTGGTCCAAACACACCCTTATTAATAAAACAAGTCACATGATGTGGTCAATTTTCAAAAAAGGGTAATGTTATTTAGCCCTATGGGGTTATAATTTCAATCTATGTAGCACTTATGTGACATTAAATATAAGTATAATTAAATAAATTATTTAATTTACCTTTCGTTTAGCATATCACTTAACATCACATAGACTGAGTTATAACTGATAACTCTAGTGTGGCTGAATAGCATTATTAGGCAAATTTACGGTTAAAAAATTAACAATTCAATACCCAATCATAGTGTGAATGAAACCTTTTTGCGTTGTTTGATGAGCGAGTTTCACTTATTATATTAATGCTACTTAATCTTGATATGTCGTTTGACTCTTTGAGTTTTACAACGTTTTGATGTTTTTTCGTGTTATTTTATACGTTAGTGAATTGGTATAAATGATGTAAAATTTGGAGAAAAGAGCGATGTTGTCATGAATCAAGGAGAAATTAATGTTGATTTGGCGAAACTTGATGATTGGAAGTGAAATTGAAAGAAAAAAGTGAATAACGACCAATAAAGGTGAAATCTAAAGTTTGAAGACTCGATTGCAACTTTTCAATAGTTGATTCGGATTACAAAATGATAATTGAAGATGTTTTAAGATTCAATAGAATACAATTAAAAGTAAAAAAATAATTCAATATGATCAAAATATTTCACATATAAGTGTTTAACCGCACGAGAATGTTCAAGATTTTTAGGAAACTTGATAATTGAAATATAGGAATAATTTTTACTTGGCACTCGAGAGATGGAGTAAAATTACATAATGGTTCTTACTTATAAAATTAGGAAAATTGATTAGTAATAATTATATAATTAAGAAACGTATTTAATCGTTGGGTGAAATCAAAAGCACATGCTTTCTCCTATTGATAAATTTTTCAAACTTGCATTGATATCATTGAATTCGTCATCATATTCATCATTAGATTAGTTTAAAACCATTGATCTTATAATTTGATTGTCTACATAAAATAGATGCTACATAATTATAGTATTTTGTAACAAAATTAAATTTTAAGCCCCATGTGTTCGATATTCGTACTTAATTTTTATATTACAAAACTTGACACTGCATACTTACGGGTATTTGACCCTGCATGCTTGGAATTTGATTGTCTACATAACTCGATATCCGTACTTAATTATAATATTTACGGTGTGTTTGAGCCATATTATTTTGGAATAGTTGATTGATGGAGAATGTGTGGTTGAAAAAGAAAGAAAAATATGTGATGTAAAATATTATTTTATTGAATAATGTTTGGTTGAAAATGAGTAGAAGAATGAAAATAAAAATTTTAATATGAACCAAATAGGGGCTTAGTAACATAATTTTTATATTACAAAACTTGACACTGCATACACTGCAAAATTAAAATGTTCTTCATTTCACTATTTTTTATTGAGAAATTAGATGAAAATGGATAGAAATGATGGTTTGATTTATCAAATGTATAATGAAGGGTGAAAATGCAAAAAATAAAAGTGTTCACGTTTTTTTCCAATAATAGTGAACGGTATGAATATTATGTGCTACTTACCCTTTTAATAATTTATTTGTGATTCATTAACGTTTTTAAAAAAAGTTGGGACTATGTTTACAATTAGTTTTTTCTTTTTCCTTTTGTTTTATTTAAAGGGAAATGTATTTTCGTTATTTCATAATTTTTAATTGAGAAAATGAATAAAAAATACATTTTGCGTAATGAAATGTGAAAATAAGGTGAAAATATCAAAAATAAAAGGTAATGATGTTTTCCATAATAAAAGTGAAAGATATGGGCGTTATGTGCTAAATTTTTATATTACAAAACTCGATACTGCCAAATTAAAATATTCTTCATTTCACTAGTTTTTATTGAAAAATTGGATTAAAATGGATAGAAATGATGGTTTGCTTTATCAAATGTATAATTAAGGGTGAAAATGTAAAAAATAAAAGTGTTGACGTTTTTGTCAAATAATAGTGAAAAGTATGAACATTATGTGTTAATTACCATTTTAATAATTTATTTGTGACTCATTAACTTTTTTTAAAAAAAAGTTGAGACTATGTTTGCAATTAATTTTTTTCTTTTTCCTTTTATTTTATTTAAAGGGAAGGGTGTTTTCGTTATTTCATAATTTTTAATTGATAAAATGAATAAAAAAGACATTTTGCACAATGAAATGTAAAAATAAGGGTGAAAATGTCAAAAAAAAAAAAGGTAATGATGTTTTCCATAATCAAAGGGAAAGATGGGGGCGTTATGTGATAAATTATTCAATTCTATTTTGGAGGGAAAGATAACACTTTCAAAATCACTCAGGAGATAAATGGAAAACGGGAAAAAAACTCTCCCCTTCTACATACACAAAACAAATGGCTGAAACCTTGAGCCCGAACCCTAAGCAAAGGGGACCCTTCTCTCCTTCAAGCCCATTCTTCTTGGGCTCCAATGATGACAAACTCGAACGCGCTCAGGCACGTGCCGCTCGGGCTGCCGCCGTGCGCCGGAAACCTGCCGCCCCTACGACAGCCACTTCTCCCAAGGCGGATCCATTGCTCGGAAAAGAACAGATCCTCGAATTGTTTCAGAACTGCATCAAACTTGCCAGCGAAAACGTTTTCCCTCTTTTTTATTTTATTATTTTTTGTAACTTTGAGAAATTTGATCACGAGTGGGTTTACGATATTTATGGATTTGCAGAAAATTAACCAGAAAAACACGTGGGAGCTGAATTTGATTGATCATCTTTACGAGATTATTAGAGTCGACGAAGAGAATGATGTGGAAACCAATTTTCAGAAGGTGTGTTTTTTTATTAAATGTAATGTGCAATTTATTTTGTCCCATCACACTTCAAATATCTGTTTATTATGAAGGAATATACGTCTTGCATTTTCGAGAGAAGTGGTTTTGGTCCGAGTATGTGCCGGATTTTGGTCTTTTACACGTGTGTCTGGAGTAAATTCCTTTCTTTTTCTTTCTATTTTTTTGCCAATGGAATCATTTCTTGTTGTTAATCTTAATTCTATCTTTCAAGCAATGGCTTCTTCAAGCTAACTTCATAAAAGCCAGGCAAAAAAAGATTGTTTTTAGGAGAAATGTAAAATTTCAAAATATGCATGCTTCCTCCAAGTTAGTATAAAAGTGAGTATTGAAACAGTGGCTTTTATATTGCACAACACATTTTATTATTTTGTGGGTATGTTGCACACACACAAGTAGACACTATATAAACGGCATACATATCTATATAGTATTTATGGTTTTATTTTAGGCAAGTTGTACCCTTGAAGCTGGAGTTAAGATTTATTCAATGAGGGTGGATTCAGTTCATTCAGAAGCATATAAGGTTCTTGGAGGAATTAATCGTGTTGGGCAAGAGGATGAACAAGGTTAACTTTGTCAAGGCTTCGTTTTCATTTGTATTCTAATACATATTTTTGCTATCGCATAAATGAATTATCTTGCTTATAATTTTACATGTGAAGAATTGGAATGATGTATTTTGATGTTATCCAACTTAGTTTATGAATATGATATTTATGAATGTCAAGATATAAGTTAGAGTTAACTTAATTTCTACACTGGAGTTTTTGCGATAATATTCTTTACCCTTTCCTTTTAGGTAATATGGACAGGAGGATACTAAAATTTCACCATTCTTTTGTCTATTGGATATCTTTTTGTTTCTGTTTATCTACCTTTGACTTTTTAATGTTTTGTATTCTGCCAATTAATGTGAACTAAGCTCATAACAGGTATAGTTTGAAAGTTGGGTTGATAAATCCAAACAAACGAAAAAACTCTAGTGATTTGACTAAAGTATGCCAAAGTTTAGTGGCCATGATACTGAAGCATCAAATTCTGTGAGGTTTGGAGCGGGCTAATTGAAACTAACAATAACTCAGTCAGTTGAAAACGTATAAAATTTCATCCGTAATTAGATTTGATAAAGTTAAGTGGACTCTATGACCTCTGCCCTTCTATTTTTCCTGGTCTAGAACTAGTTTTGTATCCTACAAACTGGGATTCTTCACCTTCATGGCTTTTTATGTTATCTTTCTTGGTTAGGATAAATATAAAGAATATACTCTTACTGATTTACAACTACCCTGTGTGCCTTACTGATGTATTACCTCCAGTCACTATGACATAGCTATTTCTTTCTTTTTGTTAAGTTTCCCAGTCATTGACAGTGGTCTAGCAAGGACAGTTGCCTGGGAATGAACGATCCCCAATTACATTCTGGATATGCTTCACAAAAAATGTTTTCAGTCTTGTCAGTTCTAGTCTCTGCCGTGCATTTAAGCTTATTAACTATGCCAGATAATTTCGTGGAGAATGCCAATATCGATAATGCGCAAGAGGAAGGCCACTCAAAGAAAGACCGAGAAAGAAAGGTAAGTGTTTCTTGTCATAAAATGTATCATGAAGTTGGTATCTTAACTGATTAGGAATTGAAAAAAGGTTGGTCACTAATGTAGTTAAAGTAAACACCTGCAGTTGTCACCATTGTCCACACTGGAGTCATCTTTTGAGGCTCTAAATGTGAAGAAGTTTGATGGTAAGCGCATCTAAAACGGTTTTTTGATATGAATGGATATTAATTGGCTTTTTGCTTGAATTATTTCTGGTTTTCTCTCTCTTTCTCTACTTTTGCCTTCACGTGTGCATGGTTGCGTTGATTTTATGTCTCGATAAGTTTCTGCAGTCTGTAGTTTCCTTTGAAATTGATATCTTCATCACCTTTATCCCTTTTTTCTCTCTAGGCATTTATTCACCTCTCTCCCTTTCTCTCTCTATGTATATTCATAGTTGCATTTGTGGTGGATCCTCTCTACCATCAGACATCTGCACAGTTCGATGAAGGTGGGGCGAAGGGTCTTTTGCTGAACAATCTTGGAGTGTATGGTAACTGCCGAGTGTTATTTGATTCTCTGGAAGTACCTGGGAAGTGTTCGTCTTTTGAGGCTCAAGGTGATGGAGCTGAGGCAATTGATATATCTTTTGCTAGAGGTATAGTAGCTTCTGTGATATATCTTGGTTCTGCTTTCTGTCATATATCTTATGCTTCTTTTATTTTATTTTATTTTTGTTCAGAATGCATTGAACAAATGGTATTGGATATGCCTAAGAAGCATGAAATATCACCCAGTCTTAGGGCTATATTCGATGTATTTGACGAGGACAAGCAAAAACCATCTGAATCATTTTCTTCTGGCAAAAGTTGTTCTGCGCAAGTTTTCCAAACTGCCGATAGTAATCACGAGGAAGATAATGAAGCATTTGAGAGTTTTGGAACTTGGGGCTTCGATCATGATGAAAAAGCAAGTGTGGTAGATGAAGGATCTTATGATCAAGATCAAAATTTTCCAAGCCAACTGGAGGTTCTGATTAATTAGTTTTGTTGCCATAAATCCAGCATATGTTTTAAGTGATCCTTCTAATGGAACGAAATATCATAACTGCTAATATTTGTGGGAAATAATTGCAGGATAATAAACGTTTTAATTTTGGTGACCTTGACGAGAATAATAGTTTTGAGAAAGTCGATGGCTATTTGTTTTCAAGTTTGGGATTTGCGTCAAAGAAAAATGCCTGGGCGGGTCCAGATCATTGGAAGTATCAGAAGGGTAAAGGTAACTTTCAGTAGGCTTTTCAATCAATAACATAAATGTTTTTTTCTCCTGTTCGTTTGGCATTTAATAGACTTCTTTTACAGATTCTGAAGATCCAGCAAAGGATAATGGATTACCAAAGACCATAAAAGCAAAAAATAGAAAAGCAGAATCTGACATTGAGCTGTCAAATGCCTTGGACAAAGATGTATCGGATATCTTTGCTCCTCCAAAGAATCCCAAGTCACTATTCCTGCCAACAAATAGAGCACCGTGTAACACTAAACTCCCAGAAGATTGCCATTACCAACCGGAGAATCTTGTGAAGCTATTTCTGTTACCTCATGTTACGGTAAACTTCAGCAGTCCCTCCCAACCTTCCCTTCATGAAGAAAAGTGGAAGCCTATAAGTTAGTTGTGAAAACAGACAGATATATCTTGCTGGAACTTTAGTTTCTCTCTGTGTGGTCACGAGAATTCAATCTTGGGTTATATATTGATTTTTTTTTGTATTTCGTTACTTCAGTGCATCGGAAGGAGAGGAAGCAAGACAACAGGTGACAATGACTTCTATGAATCTATACTATACAATCACATACATTGGACATTTGGGATGTTCTAATGTTAAGCTGTATTCCCAGTTGCAAAGATTCAGCATGTTGATAATGTTTAAAATTTTGTTTCAGTATCCCTAATTAGAAAGAATAGGGAAATGCTGTAACATTCACATACATGCAGAGTAACAATTGCTAAAAGAGTGTTGTTTAATTGATTGAGAAAACAGCTGCACCATGACAAAGTAATAAATTGGCATTATTGCTAAATTAAAGCTTAAAGGTTCCCAAAAAAGTATTATGATATCTTTGCTTGGTTTTCTCTTATACTCTCCATACAGAAAATTAGAAATTTTAACCCAAAACTATGGACCCTGGAAAATGAACTTTTCAAGCCCAAAAATCCAATGATCGGAGTGACATCGATGATGAATTCATGAAGTTCATATATTAGCAATTCATTTGTTTTGAGAGGAAAAATTTCACGCTTTGACTTTGTTAACATTTATCAGGAAGTTTGCCGTTCAAAAGGCTAACCCCTGGATCTTTATACACAAAAAACACAAGCTAAATGTCACATTATTTTGATGACTGCTAAGTGAATCATATTTGACTACCTTTTAATATTTCTCTCTTTCCTCTCTACTTCGCTTTGTATCTCACCTCATTTTATATGGAGTGTTACACTTCTATAACTTACGATTTTTGTTATTTATTTGTATTTTTACCTTTGTACACTAAAGCATATCTTTATCATGTCTTATCAAGAATCAATCAAAATTTCCAAATTAGTTCCCACTAGTGCTAACCCTTTGTTGTGGTTAGATGAAGTAAGTCAACAAAGAGATGACTATGGAGAAATGCCATCATGGGATGATGAAGGTGGTTTTGGAGGCACATTTGATGATGGAACTTCTTATAGTGATGTTGATGAATCAAGCACTTTGGTCTCTCAACCTCGACAGGTTAGCATCCTTGTCCCATAGTTACTATAATTTTACGATGTTGTCGGCATTAAAATATTTAGTGTCCCATATATTTGTTATAGTGCATAAAATATTCTACTGTAACGGTGAATATAATTACGTTTTCCTGAATATATCAACAAAAAATTCAATTTATTGGTGTTAACTTACATGCACGCATTTATATAGATCATAAAAATATATCATCCATATAATTCTTACAATGTACAATCTATCTAACTACACACACACACACACACACACTACACGCACACACACATGTATATATAATATATACATACATGACACTTGATAAAAGATTCAATGTAAAATTTTGAGGTGCTATAATCTCTTATGGAGAGCTGAAGCCTCAAGCCCTACGGAAAGGATTTTAGCCAAGCCTATGTTATCTACAATTTCCAAGTTAGTTTGCCATTTTATAGATATGAGCCCTTCTCTGATTTCCTCATGTAAGGCATCAATAGCGTCTCGAGAAAAAACTGGTGTTTAATTTTTTTAGATACATATGTACTGTTTTTGATATTCTCAATCTATTTTTATTTTTGATTGGATACACTTCTTTTCTTCTCTACTTAGCATTCATTCAAGAGCATTTTGTTGAATTATCCAATTTGTAAACTGAGAAGCTCACGTCTTAAACTTTTGAATGCTACTTATTCAGTTTTCTTTAGGCTTTAGCTTTGATTTTTTATATAATAAAATTGTAAACGTTGCCGTTAGCGACCTTTTGCTTGGATTATAGATTAAGTTAATCTAGAATGTTCATGGTTCATTTCGGTTTTCTTTTCTCCTATAGGATCAGTCTGACCTATGTTAACAACAAGAACAGGGAAGAGTGGGGTACATGCCATGAACCAAAAAGGGAAAAGTAAAAGAGTCGAGCGATTACTTACAACCTATGCACCTACATCCCATCAAAAAACTTTCTCCACACCGATGAAATATCTTTATTCTAAAGAAATATGGGCAACCAGTATTTTTTCTACCTTCTTCTGGTATCATATGTGGGGACACAAACAAGCATCTGAACCAAACAGCTAGTTGGGATATAGATTTTTCCTAGGGTACGTCTTTTCCTTGAAACAATGTTATCAATACCAAACAGTTCAAACGTTTATAATTTGTGGGAAATTGGACCTGCTCAACTTTGGGTTTCGTACTGGGAAGGTGTTTGTTAATCATAGAAACCACAGCGTAAATGAAGTATTAGTTCAAAAGTAGAACTAGAAAGACACTGTTTTTGCATCTTAGGTGTTACTAAAATGAAGAAATATTTCCTCAGGAAATACACAACTCAGGACTAATAGCTTAATTTTTTCATAGGTTATTTTATCATTAGAGGGTAGCGGTGCGAATATATGGAGCAAAACTACTATTTTCTTTTGGACAATGAGAAATATAAATCCTTATTCTCAAATTCTAGTCACTGTATGTAAGGATTTAATGATAATCATGGATCTGATGTTTCATTGCTTCTGTCACTTTTTTCTTCTGAGTAATTAAATATGATTTTAACCAAATGTGGCAAATCACTTACTGGACGAGACAAAATCTGTTAAAGAGCCTGCATCGTGAATTTTTGCACTTCTAAAGTAACCTGTTACAAATTTTTGCCATTCTAAATAATTTTTAGTTAATGAGTTATATTTTCAAAATCAATTACTGCCTAGTTTGCTTGAAAATATGTTGCAGTCAGTGTTTATTTTTTATCTCCTCGTCGGGATGAACAGATTAGTAAGATTGAAGTCCAGTTTGATAAAACATCTAAACAAGTTGATGTTCACTCACTCAAGGAAACCCTGTGGGACCATATACAGAAATTCAACGGAACTTCAATTCAGGTAAGTCCAAGTTCTTGTGAAGGCCCGATTTTACTTCCTTGATAATTGAGCTCTATGTAGGTTCAAATTGAGTAGTTGATAACCAATTGCATGTTCAGTGTACATGAATTTTTTTCCTCATTTATTAACATACTCATGTTCAAAACATAATAACAAACTTCTTTGATTTGTAATGACAAAAAGTTAGATGTTTTAACAAGACAACAAAGTAGAGAAATCTATGTGCAAGTGAGGGATGCTTGGAAGTAATCATTGAACAATTGCTACATAATATATCACCCAATAGTCAAATCCTTGGAAGCTCTCTATTTCTGGAATTTTTACTATGCAAGACTAAGGGAAAAATCTAAATTCTTTTGGAAGATAGATCACTTTATCTATCACTCAAGTTGAGATATAAATTAGAAATAGGGAGACTCCTATTATAGGTGTACAAGAGAGAGGCTTTTGGTTATCATTTTATGTGGAATTCACACCATTCCTGTTATATTGGGGGTAACAAAAGATAATTCCTATTCCATGTGGAAAAGTCATCCTATCACACTTAGGACTAGGGAATACCAATCTTATAAATGTGGGATTGTCTCCAAATAGGAAATTCTTTAATACACATCAAATATGAAATGTCTAATATACGCTTAGTTGTAGGATTAACTTCCAGAATTCCAACAAATTTTTATGCAAATAAAGAGCTTGTTTGTGAGGGATTTTAATCCAATTAAACTTGAAAATATAGCCGTTATTGAGTCCCACTCGTCTAATGAAAGTCAACAATAATGGCTAATTTTTTTATTTTAATCTGATTTTAATCTCTACCAAACAAGCTGAAAATATATTTGTAAACGATTTTATCTCAAATGATGGTCCAAACAAAATTGTCTTGAGTATTCGCCTACGAAAAGCGATTGCATCATCCAAGGGAAGAGAAACTAATATGGAATGTATCAAGAGCAAATAAAACGACAAGATTTTTGTATATAGTTACGAAACTTTAGTTAAATTTTTGAGCACTATTAATGACAACAAATCACCGGTCAATATTACCATGATTCATTGACAATCGTAAATATAAATTGATGTACATCTATTAACAAAATTCAGCTTTCCCTTCTACCAAAATTTTTATTTTGCAGTATCTTATTTCATTCCTTATCAAACTGGTTTATGAAAATTTCAGCTGTACAAGTTAATGAATTAAAATCAAAGAGAATGGTTGCTTTGTACGATGCCTGCTTAGATATACTAAGCGTCTCACTGCAAGGTAGTTTCTATGGATTTTGGCTGTATATGTTGAAGCTTAGTTGTTCTGACAAACTCTACTAATCAGTTTTGAACTGGATGTTCCCATGTGAATAATACTACACAGGAAGCCATATAGAGCATGGTGGTTTGTTTAGGTTAAAGATGTGAACTTTGGAACATGGAAATGTGAAACAATTATTGGTTGATTCTTTGGAATAAAGGTAATAACAATAAAAAAAATCATTGGAGGAAGCTCATCATGAAAGTGTAGAATCTTAAGCAATCTGCCATGGTTTGGAAATGAGTTTGTAGTTGGACTAGAACATGTTTGTTACTTACATATTGTTCAGTTGAAAAGTAATTTCTAATGGCATTTGATAGAATAAATTAACTCTTCTACCATAGCCTCTATTTATTTCATTTGTATCCAGTCCTCTCTCTCTCTCTCTTCCCTATTGCTCCCTTGGTGTGCTTGTGAGTTTTTATAGGTGTGGGGGCATGATTTGGGCGTGCCTGCTATCGTACTTTACCATTATGTAAATTGAAGGTCTAAATATGGACTATTCGATATATTATGGGGAAAATGCAGGAAGAAACTGTGTCTTTCAGGCAAGTACTAGCCAATTTCCCAGACGAATGCAAAGAAGCAGCAGCAGCTTCTGTTAACGACATATCTCTGCATTTGTGCTTCATCTGCCTATTGCATCTAGCTAATGAACACGGATTGTCAATTCATGGCTGTCCCAGCTTGGATGATCTCACCATACAACTTAAATGACATACTATAATGTCTATCAAGTTTAGATACGAAACTAAGGTAGATAAATTTGAAATAGTCCAGATGACAGAGACGTTGATCTCTTCATTTTGTAATGTGCTTCTAAAGTTGTTAATATATACATTGCAACTTTTGTGTTTTAGAAATTTGAGGAAAAGATCAATTTTCTTCATTTAACAATGATCATCTGAAATTATCTTGTTTTCATTTTCTTTGTTTTTTTCTCATTATCCTGTTTAAAGGGGAAATTATTGAAAATACTCCAAATTCAACCATACCCTTTCCAAATTACCCCTTTTTACTATTCAACCATATAACTACCTAAAATACCTTTAATATAAAAAGTTTCAAAACAATTCATTTTAGTCCTTAAAACTTTAATTCTAATTTTGGATTCGACAAATTGTTTGTCCCTTGCAATAAAAAATTAGCTTTTCTTCACCATCAATTCTTTCCACCTATCTTGAACCAAAAAATTTGATATTTATTAATAATTTTATTTTTGAATTAATTGTATTTTTGCA